CTCTGCAGCCCCAGGGTCACATTGAATAGACTTTACACCTATGAGATCCATCGCGTGGGTGGAGCATAAAGGAAAGGATAAAAGCTGAGTGTGAGAACAAACAAAAAGAGAGCACCACCCCCGTCTGTTTTGGGTTATTCTGGATCAGACAACTTTTCTTTTCTTGGAAATCTCCCTAGCCTGGCCTTGCCAGGTTTTCAATTGTCTTTTTAGCAGAATTTAAACTGCTAAGCAAGGCAACATTGAACAGAGGCTCAGAACATGTTAGAATGTCCAGGTTCTTCAAGGGGATGCTCCTGCAGACCCAGTCCTGTGATATATTCAGTCCTCTCTGTCTTCATTAAAAACAGTGAACACCAGCAAGGGCTGCAGGACCCTACCCTGTCCACCCAACCCGGCTCCACTTAGCATCACAGGCAAAATTCCTATTGATTTCAATGGCCATGGAATCAGGCCATAAATCTCTGTAACTTCTCTTCCCTGTCTGCGTAACAGGGAGGGTGATGCACACTGGGCACACGGCTAAGGGATACTTGGACATCATTGATTAGTATTTGTAAAGTGCTTTTACATTCCCAGGTGGATTTTGCTAAATTGATGCAGAGGATTCGTATCGGTCTAGAAACCCATCCCCAGCCACCGGGGGGAGATTCGTACTGAATGTCCTCAAGCCACCAGACCATATTATTGTAAATAGCTGAACCAACTTTGCAGTTGATAGCAACATTGTTTCCCGGAGACACTGCCAAAGTTCTGGGGTCTGTGTCATGACAATATGTTCACTCAAACCTGAGTGTTTGCCCTGCACAGAAGGCTGTAAGGTGGGCAAAAGTTGTGATTTTTGTGTTATTTATAAAGCCCCAGCTGGTGAAGTCATGTGATTAGGTGAGAATTTATTTTAATTGTAAGAAAAAGTCATTTTTTAGCCCACATGTTTATGCAGGAATTTTTTTTAAAGTGAAACACTGAAGGCAAATAAAAAGAAGCCAGATCTGTTGTTTGTAACAGAAATTTCATGTTATTTCTTTACACTGGCTTGTTGGGAGTCAGCAACACAACAAGTGGCTATGAAAATCTGCTTATTGTTTTCCAGCTCAATGCAGTGCAGGCTTTGAGGTGCTGTGTGAAGCTGGAGCCCAGTTCTCTGCCTTCTCAGCTCAGTACAAAGGTATTAGCATTGTCAGCTGCTGTCCAGAGGAAGCTGGATGCAGCCCATAAGATCAGATCCCTGTAAGCGGTAGGGGAGCAATGACAACGGAGAGAAAAGTGCTGAACCACATGATGGGAGGGAGCATCTGAAAGGACATATTATAATAACATTCAACATTCCTGTGGTGGGAAGTCCAGCACCCTGGCATTTAATTTAAAAAAGGGGAATTACACAAAAATGAGGAGGTTAGTTAAACAGAAATTAAAAGGTACAGTGACTAGAGCCAAATCCCCGAAAGCTGCATGGAAACTTTTTAAAGACACCATAATAGAGGCCCAACTTAAATGTATACCCCAAATTAAAAAACATAGCAAGAGACCTAAAAAAGCTCAGAGAGGCAGGCAAAAGCCTTTAATTCCCTCTTATGGCTGACATGGTCATTGAGGCTGCCTTGGGAGTGGCAGCTGTAGAAAAGATTCTGTCAGACAAGATGCTTTAATGAACAAAGTGACAGAGCAGCCCAGGGAGGTTTGTGGGGAGAAGACTCGCAGTGAGAGGCAGGTGGTAGCCTGGCTGCCAACAGTATCTTCAGCTTCAGAACTGCTGATCGTGATGGTGAAGTGAAATCAGATCTCTGCCCACTGCCACTGCAATGGCTGTAGCTTCAGGTGAGAGATTGCCAAGAATCCCCCTTCTGAAGGAATGAATACCTTACAATTAAATCACTGTATAGAGATCCACAATGAAGTGAATGGAAACATTTCTGTTGGCATCTTTGCCTGGCTGATTCTGAATAGAAATTACAGCCTGATAATGCACTATGTGTTAGGGGAGGAATTGAGTATAGCTGCTGAGTTCATAGCGCTTCCGGCAAGAATGACTTTGGTCAGATTTCTCATGGGTTTGCTCTGGCTGCAGAGGGAGACCATGGAGAGCTGGTCTTGTGTTCCTAAGAGCCAGGCATTCCTCTAAGTGCTACTGACGGTTTCTTAAATATTCTTCTGGGGTAGCAGAGACTGGCCACTGCTGGAGAGTGATGTTGGATTTGATAGACCACACAGCTCAGATACTGTGATTGCTCTGTTCCTCCTCCTACTGCTCCAGAACCCACAACCCTAGTTCTGCACCTGTGCTGGCATAAATGTGACCCAGAATTCATCCTTGGTGTACCCCCAAGTGAGCTCAGGTCTCTTTTACCACTGTGATCTGTTGCCTTTGGGTGCTAGTGAGGAGTTCTGGGTTCCATTTTTGCAAGTCTCAACCCCGCCAAGGTGTTTCTTTTGGGAAAAGGGAGCTGCATCAGTGACTGTGTTTTGCTAGATAAGAAGCTGAATCAAAGAGCAGGTTTCAGTTGACCTTGTTTGGAAGAAGCCAGTGTTTCTCAACAAGCGTCCAGGGTCCTCCCTCTCCTTCCCCAGGCCATCTGCATGCCAAAGAACAGCTGTTCAGTATCTGGAATAGAGGGGGAAAGTGCAGACAGAGGATGCTTGGGGAGAGGTGGGAAAAGGAGGGTCCATTAAATGTTTCAAATCAAAATGAGAATCCTCCAGTTTCTAACATTTGAGAACATGGATTAGACTCTTGCAGTGTCCCTCAGGGAACTTTAGGAAGCTGGAGTACAGTTCTCTACTCAGTACAAAGGTATTAGCATTGCAAGCTGTGTGGCAAGGTCCTCTTGTGCAACCCATCTGTGTCTTTTTGGTCTACACCAATTTCCCCTTCTATTTACAGAGATTTGTTCCAGCAGCAAACTCATCAGGCCTCACTGGTTGGCTGACTGGGGAGCTCACTCCCCCCCCTTCCACTTTTCCTTTGGCTGCCTTTTCTAACCCTCTGGCTAATGAGGCCCACAGGTGTTTTCCACTAGCCCCTCAGACATGGGCCTGCTCAACTTCCCTTTGCAGCCAGGGTGTAGCCGCAGGGCTCTGGCTTCACTAGCAGCCTGTCACAGTGGCTGACAGTAGGAAGCGGGATGCAGCTGGTAAGAGCAGATCCCTGTTAGTGGTAGGGGAGCAATGGTGGCAGAGGGAAAAGTGCTGAACCATATGGTGGGAGAGAACATCTGAGGACTAAGTTCTGGATGGATGAGGGAACAGACCCAACTCTGACACACACTCGGCCTGTGGGCAGCCTTGCAGAAGCACTGGTGCCAGGAAGCTAGAGGAAGCAGCTGAAATATTGTGAGTGAGAGAAAGAAACCCTACAGAGCAGGGAGGTTTTTGTGCTGGTCTGTATCACTGTGTGAGAGAGCTACTGTAGTAACACTGACAGTAATAATCTCCAGCATCATCCGCTTCAACCCTGCTGATGGTGAATGTGAAGTCGGTGCCAGACCCGCTGCCACTGAACCGGTCTGGGATCCCAGAGGGACGGTTAGAAGCACGATAGATAAGGAGTTTAGGCTCTTGTCCTGATTTCTGCTGGTACAGATTCATGTAGCTGCCTACGCTGGAACTGGTTTTGCAGCGGATAGTGACTGTGTCTCCAGGAGACACTGCCAGGGATTCTGGAGTCTGAGTCACCACAATCTGCCCAATGGAGTCTGGATGGGAGAAAACATTGAAAAGGAAAGGCAATATGCAGACACACAAATCTCATACGTTTTTCAACTAATTACAAAGCTGCATCTTGTATCTCTTGTGCACAAACACAGTGACTGCCCCTGGAAATCATTGCTTGATGAGTAAACTCCGGGCATCAACAGCCTAGTAACATTTTATAATTTTTAAGCTAATTTCCCCTGTTATTTCTCTTACCCTGAATGCAGAGCACAAGGAGCCAGAGAAACTGAATCTGGGAGATCATGTTGGCAGCTGTGGAGCTCAGAAGCACAAACGGTTCAAGTGACATGTTTATATCTGCTCTTAACAACAGGGGATTGTCGCTGGGGTGGAAACATGTAAAGCAGCAGCTCTGTGTAAATGTCCCTTCTCTCTGCCAGACTTTACACCCATCAGACCTATCCTGTGAGTGGATCATAAGGAAAAGGATACAAGCTGTGGGGTGGGAACAAACAAAAATGTCATTCTGGATCAGACACCTTTTCTTTTCTTGGAAGTCTCCCTAGCCTGGCCTTGCCAGATTGTCAATTGTCTTTTTAGCAGAATTTATTCTGCTAAGCAAGGCAACATTGAACAGAGGCTCAGAACATGTTAGAATGTCCAGGTTCTTCAAAGGGATTCTCCTGCAGATCCAATCCTGTGATGTATTCAGTGTTCTCTGTTTCTATTAAAAACAATGAACCACAGCAACAGCTGCTGGACCCTACCCTGTCCAGCCAATCCTCCTCCCATTGGCATC